AGGAACAATCACCTTCCTGCTGCTCATGGCCACGTTATTTTTTTTATGCCAGGCAGGATGCTGTTGGCTGTCTTGACTGCCTGGGCACACTGCTGGCTCGTGTTCAGCCAACTGATGACTAAATCTTGTCAGAACTTTTCTCCATGCAGCTTCCCAGCCACTCTGCCCCATGGCATTGCCTGGGGTTGCAGTTACAAAGTGCAGCATCCAGCACCTGATCTTGCTGAATCTCATATAGCTGGCCTCAGTTCATCAGTCCACCTCATCCACTGTTTAGATATTATGAATAGCTAATGATGGTGTATGTGGGGCTGTGACAGAGCAGTACAATATTAAACAAACAAAAAAGCAATAACATATTGCAAATCATATGTTAGAATATACTATCTCTTGCAGCAGTGTCTTAATGTGCTTAGAGAATGGTTCAGGTCTGTTTTCTTCCTCAACAAAGTAAAATATAGAATCTAGGAAATCTGAACAAAGTACTTGGGGAGAGGTGGAACAGACCTCCATGTGCTCAAATCTGTGTTTGAGAGCACTTCCCTGGTAGCTGACTGCTTTTCTGTGAGCCTCTGCACATTTCTTTCCAGTTCTCATACTTCATTCTGTTTTTGCATGTCTTTCAGCATTTAGAAATAACTGTGCCTGAGCTTTTGTATTGGTAGCCACTTGAAGGCACAGTTATCTAAGCAGCAGTCTGTAACTTAAAGCTTATGTACCTTTTTGTTAGGTATTACTGATGCAGTAGGAAGTGTAGCTTTTATTCACCAAGAATTAGTGTGAATAATTAACATGTAGTCCATCAGTACGGAAAAATGAATGAATATCTATTTGATATGAGTCTTGATGGATTATTTCATTGATGGTTTAATCTGTCTGGTTTCTGCTTAATCTCTTTTATTGGCTCAGCTAGCATCTGAGCAGAATTTAAAACATGCTCATTACTAAAACACATAAATATTTGAATATTCTGATGTTTTAATCTTATCTTTCATAGGGATTCTGTTTTAAAAAGTATCTTCTGAAATCAAGCCACAGCAGACTTCCTGATTACTCAAAACATAATTTCTTACCAAAATAAATTATAATAGATTGTTAAACTGAGCAGGAAAGAGTTGCTTTTAGTAGAAACCTCCTATCTCAAGTTTTCTTTAGAGCAGTCTTGGAAGATAAAATCTGGAAAATGAGCCAGCCTGGAACAGCATCAGGAAATGACTGCCCAGGGACCTGTAGACTAAATAATGATGATGTCTATTATAAAACACCTAACTAAAAAGAGAGCCCCAGTGAAGCCCTTGCAACATAGTACCTCTCAGTGTATGTCCCAGTGTACAGAGTGAGATCTGCATGCATTTATCTCTTTTTTTAGGAAGGTGATGTCATTATCAGGCACTTTGCTTTCAGACACCTTTGCTTTTATAAAGGCCAGCCCTTACAAATTGGGTCATGGAGTTTATGCTGCAGGGGGTTACTTCTGAGGCAAAACCCAGCAATGGCTCTTTCATCTTGAATGGCTTCTCTCCATTCTCATGCCTCGCTCCCAATATAGATCAGATTCTTAAAAGCAGAAGCTTGACTTCCGAAAATTCTCAGCCCTCCCATCTCCTACTGAGAGAGGGAAGCGGTTACTATGGATTCTCTGCACAAGAACAGATGTATTCCAGCATGCTGGGTACTAACCATGCTGCTCTCTGTGTGCCTCAGGTTTTTTCAAATCCAGAATGTATCTGGTCATGGACAGCGTGGGTAAGGCTGCCCTGGCTTTGGATTCCTCCTGTTTCTCCTTTGCCTACCAGTATAGTGGATAGGTGAAAAAGGTGTGAATTCTCTTAGTGCTTTCAGGCTCCAACAACTCCTTTCCTCCTCTCCTAGCACTTGGCCATGTGTCAGATTGATAAATGACCTCAAGGCAGAGTAATGCATTCAGACAGTGTGAAAGCTACATTTGGGGCTGGTTCTACACCCAGTGTATAAAGAGTTATTGATACGTGTTTGTGAATTAAGGGGGCTGAGAGACCAAGGCAATATGCAGCAAGAGGGAAGGCACTCTCAGTGATTATGCCATCTACAAATTAGCACTGTATTGCAGTCTGTTAGAGGGAAGTGAATGTCAGATTGTAAGCAGGAGTTTGAGAAGCAGTTTCTGCCAACTTTGGGGAAATCTGAGTGTGGATCTAAGTGTTGTAGTTTGAACTCCCTTCTATATGCAATGTTAGCCAGTGAATCATTAAAACATTTTGACGTTCTGCCCATGCAATCTTATTCACTTCAGCTCATTTCTAGCACTTGATTCTATGCTCTGGTATATTAAACCTGAAAAGAATGATGGGGGAGTGGGAATAGTTTCTGGATCATTTCCTCCATCACTAACTTCTATGAAGGCTCTAAATAGAAACGAAGCATACATTGCAGAAGCACATAAAATGTCAGTCCTATAGTGCTGTCATTCATGAGAAACTCAGTGATGGTATGGTAGTCATGTTTCTAAAACTGCAGTCATTTTGGCATTTCTCTAATTTTCATCTTTGTAGAAAACAGTGGCACTCCTAGAATCACCCTACCCAATTCAGTGAGACCTGCTATGAAATGCATTAATAGGCTTCCTCTACTGAGTCACATCTCTTGAAAGACTTTTAAAAGTAGTTTTCTATAATGTATATTGTGTAGTATATTTACCCTGTGTGTTAACATCACAAGGTCTTACAGAGTAAAAAGACAGCCCAGAACTCAGTTTCATCTATATTTATACTCTACAAAAGAAAATCTTTTGCACATCTGAGCTGCCTGGTAAGTGGGTCTCTTATTCTGTTCTCCATTATTTCTTTTGATTCGAGTTTCACTTCTGTGTTTTCTAAAGCATCACAGTTCATTTCTTTGATAGAAGTATGTGTAAAAAAAAATATATCCATTTGCAAGGACAAAGTAAGTAAGGACACTTACTTTGTAGGTGTCTTTATGAATCTATAAATGCCCTCTGTGGGGTGAAAAATATTAGAATAAAGTTCTGAATGGCTTAAGACTGGAGGTTGGGCATAGAGTGGGTTGTTGGTGTCATATCTCTAGAGGATCAATGAACTATTTTATAATAATACAAAATACTGCAATCGGAGCACACCTGTCCTGTGCTCTAAGCTGCTCAAGAAGCACAATGAAGACAACTTCTCTGCAGTCAGCATGTTCACAGGTTGGGCCCTCAGTCACTGATATTGGCAGACCGTGGTGGCAGCTGACTTGCATGTTGATCACAGAGGAGATCTGCATCTTGTTCACATTGTTGCTGCAAAGGTAGATGGAAATATTGTTTGTTCTAGCTTTTTTTTTTTTTTTTTTAGGGAAATGTTTTGTTGCCTGTTAAAGGCAGTTACTAATAAGCCTATCTGCAGATGCTATAAGAGAAAGACTAAACACAATATTTCACTGTGCCATCTCTAAGACCAAGGCTCATGGACTCAGGATACCAGCCCCCCAGGCTGCATGGGTAGCAGGCAGTGCAGGTTGCTGTGCAGTCTCCTTCTGTGACTCCCATTCTATTCCACCAGTAATGTTTGCCTGTGCTTGAGAGATACACATTGACCTTGGCTATTTACCTGCTACCAAATCTGTATGTCTACAGGAAGGCTGAGGCAGAGCATGTGTATGAATCCATATCTCCTGATTTTTAAACTACTCTTAATTAGATACTATTTAATTTATTAGCAATCACCTTTAACTTTTTAAACAGCAATCTCTTTCACATGTGATTTTTTTTCTTTTCATTTTTGCTGCAACATGAACAGGATGGGATGTGCTTAGCACAACATCTGAGTGTATAGAAACACAGTAATGTTTGAAAAATATTATAGAAGAGAACAAGATTCAGAAGATTTAGCTGCAGTGAGAGAGCACGTCACCTTCCTACCTGATTCTTGGTCTCCTAGGCTTACCCACAGACCAGGCACAAACAAAAGTAGCACCTTCTTTGCTAGTTAAGACATATTTCTGTGCTAAAATCCCTTCCACATTAATACTCTGGCACTGTGTTGGCCTCATACTTTCGGAGGCTTGGACAGAATAGCCATAATTTCAATGAAATGTCAAAGAGGAGAATAAAAGCAGTTGGAAATGAATGTTGGTTTCTTTATCCTCCTGGGATTGTGGATGTATTTAAAACAAAAGGGAGTTCAGTGTTCCTTTCTGGCCACTGACAAGATTATCCTTCCAGAATGCTCCATTCAGCAAAGCACTCAGGCTTTGAGCACACAATGTGGTGAGTTGTCAGCTTTTCATCACAGCCAGCTCAGTTAATCTTCCTAGCTGCTCTGATCAGACCTCCCTAATGCATATTCCCAGACCCTGTGGCTTCCTGTCTTGCTTCCCTGTTTCACAGACCTTGTTCTCACCCTAAAAAATGTGAGCACCCTGTGTACCCTGTGGTACTACATTCCACCAAGGACATCTTCAGTGGACAATCACCACGTTCACTTGCACTGTTGTCTGTCCTTGTTCTTGTTGATCATCTCACTGTCCTTTCTCATAATTTATTTTGAATGTATGGTACAGTTTAAAGCCTGCAAACAAGCTGGTTGTGCAGACTTTAATCCTTAAGTGATGGCTGTGTATTGTCCTTTGGGATGGGTGAACTACTTGACTTATCTAACTGGAGGCATGGAAGTTCTGTATGCAGACACAGCTGTGAATATATCGTATGGATTCACATCTCATCTGATTCGGGATAGTTCATGCCCAGGTATTGCATCAAAACCAAGAGTATGATGTTTTAGAAAAGGAAACTCCCACTGGACAGAGAACCTGTACAGATATAATTTGTCATATGCATTTTATTTGCATGTTAATCCTTGTGGATGCTTTGTATCAGAACAGATTGGAAGGACTGATTTATTCTCTATTAACAAACTGAAGTATGTTTGCAGAGCAAGGGGTATTAAAATATCTTAAAGTTTCAATACATCAAATACTTCAAAATTGCAAAATATTTTACTCTTTCAGTCTTTTTTGGTCTTCAGTTCTCTCAGCTGTAATGTGTAAGAACAGTGACAATCACAATGAAGGGCTGCTTTCAAAAACATTTTTACAGCTTTTCTAAGGGTCAAAACTTGGTTTTTCACAAAATGGTACTCACATTCACAAATTTATTTCCAGAAAATTAACTTTATCTTTTACTATGAACATCACTTTAAGTCTTACAAAGCACTGCAATACTTACAACACTTTTCCTTTCCAATAAAGTTGATTTCATGTCACCTTTATTTATTGGCTGGCCTTGTCTTTGCTTGTTGTGTATTTGTTTTACAGAAGGTGCTGCTGGCATTTACTGTATCCTCTTAATTATTACGTCCACCAGTTAGCAGGTTGAGTTGTATTATTAATTTCAGGTTGTAACTTGATTGAAGTGGTACAAGTTAAAAATAGATTCTTTTTGTCTAAGGGACAAGACCTGAAAAAGATAAAGTAAAATGCCTTGAGTACTTATTGGAATGCTGGATTAAAATTAATTCTGAGGTTCATGAATAAAGCAACTGTACCTATTAATTTGCTCTCTCTTAAGAGACAATAACTATACAAGTAAATCTCTAAAGGTTCCTTGAAATAGTTGCCCACAGTCATTTCCAGGCGCTACTTCCGTGAAGTCTCAGCAGAGTTCTGTCCTACTTAAGAGAGGTTCAAGCTCTTTGAGGCAGGGTGACTTCCAACTTCTGCCCTTAGGAATCTACATTTGATTTTGTTGGAAATATGCTGTGGGGACAAGAGCCAAAGCAGCTGTGACACATATTCATTAGTAAAGTCTTTTATAACCCTTTTCTTAAGTCATCTCTGCATTTCCAAACGTGTTGCTGCTGTGAGCAACTTTGTGAGAATGAATTCAAAGCCAGTAACCAATGCCTTGGATAAGTTCAGCTGAGGTTCAGCCTTATAAATTTCAGAATGCCCCATTTACCAACTGGTCAGTTTGACTTAAACGTTTTCTAAATGCAGCCTTAGAGAGCTTGAAAGAGCAGGAGAGGAGGAGGAGTTGTTTCAGCTTAAAGTATTTTTAATTATCATTAAGAATTTGTCAGAACAATTGAGATGTACAGATTCTTCTGTTTTCTCCTGATTTAGTTGTCTTTTTTTTTCCAAAAGAATAAATTGAAGTCACCTTCATTAATGTGTCCTCAAGTCTGTGTATGAAATGCTCCCTGCTAGGCCTCATTTGTAGCTTCCATATCTCTTCATTGCAGCAAGGTGCTATATAAGCTAGCAAAGCTGAATGCTTTAAGCCATGATTATGTGGAATTCCGTGTGTAACAAAGTTGCTTGGGAGGCAAAATAAAACCTACTTGGTATACAATTGCTGAGCTCCCTGTGCAGCTTTAGCCCGTTGTGGGTGCTAGAGCTGTTTCAAAATCAGCTTCTGATTGTCTATAATCCACTGCTGCCACATTGCAGTGCACATCAGATACTTGAAAGCTACTGCTCTTGTTCTTCACTCTGCAGAATGAAACTCCAAAGGAGTGCAAAGCTCTGTTGTGCAACTGAAGAAGTGGCTAAATGATTATGTAGTGTAGGCATAAAAATATCACTGTGCTATTTGTTATTCGATCTATCTCATGCACTGGAAACACTGAGATATTTCTATGGCTGGGATGTGACCAAGAGTTCCTTTTACCATTACAGATGCAACAGATGTACACAGCTTCACTTCTGGTACCCTTTTCTTGCTCATCTGGCTACTGCCAAAGCAGCTGTCATCCAGGAGCCCTGGACCTGCAATGCGGAGGTAAGTATCACTGCCTTCAATTTTACAGATCAGAAAACTGAAACACAAAAATGTAAAACAAATTGCTTTTCTTGTGATGCTGTCATTTATAAAGTTCAGCTCTGGTCCATACAAGTTTATCTATTTGACCCTAGTGCTTTCCTGTCCTTTTGGGGAGCATTTCTTTGATCACTGTCAGTGTTTATTCTGTGACAGAGCCTTTAGGTTTGCACAAAGGGGAGAAAAAACAACGGATGTTTAAGCACAGGCATGTAGCTCATTTCAGTGACAAGGCAGTAGTGCAGAGAGTTCAGCTCACCCTGGAAGATGGTCTAATCCCTTTTAGGTTTGTCACTGACAAATACATGATTACCAATCCCATTGCAGATGTCTTCTAAGTTATTATTTTTCTTAAAGGTGCAACATGTCCCAGTGCTTTCTGTTAGAACTGTAAATACTTTTGTTTCTTTCTTGAAGACCCAGTGGATTTTTTTTCTTAGACATTTCTGAAGCCATTTGATTCTGGGAGGCCATTCCAGCACGTATAATTTTCCCAAAACCTTTTTCTTGGTCACTTTGCAAAAAACAGTGTTTCTAAATCTCTCAGAGACACTGCTCATGCCCTATCTCTGCAAGAGGGTTGGAACTAGGTGATCTTTAAGCTCTCTTCCAGTCCAATTCCTTTCTTGATTCTACGATCTTGTACAATTGCAAATATTCCTGTAGAACGCTTAATTCTCTGCGGTCTTCCAACTTAGATTTCATCAAAGCGAGTAGAAAAATTGATGTTAAGTTCCTGTTACAGATAAAAGTGAAAAACATAAGGTTTTTAAAAAGAACATATGGATACAAATGTACATATTTAAACAAACATGTTCCAATCAGCTCAGATTTCTCTTTTCTTTCTCTTGTGATCAAAATGTGATAAGACACAGAGGATAGTGAAGTCCCTACAGCGCCAGATCTGAGTCTTGCAAAGGATGTTAGGAAAATTTCCAGTGATTTCTCTAAGTCTCAAACCAGATCATTGTTGTCAGGAAAACATCAGTGAACAATATGGACTCACTGTGTGCAAAACTCCTGTATATAGTTTCAGATGCTGAACATTTTCAATGCCATTTCAATTCTATTTTGAATATGGACTACTTCTGCTAAATGACTCATTATAACCTAGGCAAAATAACCTTAACAAAATACAAGAAACCTACAAGCAGGACAGTGAATTTGTAGAGATGAGAATATAAACAGAGATGTTGCCATGGAAATGAATGTTGATTTTTATACCATTTTTTTTCTGATCCAGTTCTCAGAGAATAAATAGGAGATTTGCTCAGTTTTAAAGGGAATGATGCTAGTCAGCTTATACACCAGTTTATGAGATCTTCCTGTCAATGTGTAGGGAAGTAATTCAGTTACTAAGTACCTTAGTGTCTCTAGAGTTACAGCAGCTATGTAAGATGAGAATCTGTTCCTGCAGTGTCTTTAATATCTAACATTCAGATAATTCAAGATTTTAGCACTGGAATATCCAAATCTCATGCAGATGAATAGTGCTCTGATTGCAAATGACTTTTGTGGTGTTCACGTGCTGCTTGTCTGTGGAGAGGGATCATTTTTGTACCTTGAGAAAGAATAGCCAGTTCTCTGAGGTATCTTCTCATGATGCCACAAGTGCATTGCAATACCTAGTTAATGGCAGCTTTGTATTGATAATGGGCTTCTACGAATCATGAGGAGCATCAAAAAGAAAACATTTTCTTATCTATATGTTCAGATGCTTTCTAATTGCTCATGTGTATTTTAAATAACTTTGCAATTCCTTGTATTGCATTATTCAGGTTTCTCAGTGTCTCATACAAAAGTGATTGAAATGCAGCCAAAAAATTTGCACACTATTATGGGGAATACTTTGTACTGCACATTTTTTAGCTTGTTAATAAAGGGTAAGAATGTGCACGGGTACATTGCATGCCCTCACTTTTATTTTCTACTTTCAAATGTAGCTATTTTTTCATCTGTAATAGGTTGTAGATGTACCAACTTCTCAATAATAGTAGAACTGAGGGGAAAAATACAGAACATTAAAACAAGAAAAAATATTGAATATTTGCTGGTGAAGCAGATTGTGTTAGAAACTATCATACAAATTCCAGTGAGAGATGAGGACTTCCTGGATCTCACATTCTCAACACAGTCTGTAGGATGCACTGTTGCCTGTACTGCACAGTCCTGGGGATGTTCTACAGCTACTGACAGTTACATTTGAAGTGCTGGAAGATGTAAAGGAAAATTACTTTATAAGAAATATGAAGTCCTAACTACAAGTTCAATATATTTGCGTAAATGTGACCTAAAACACTCCTCTCACACTTGCACTGTTCAACTTAATATTTAAGCTAAAATATTCATCATTTTCTTGTGGAAGAAGAACATGAATGGAAAGAAAAGAACATACGATAGGTGCCATCTGTTCTCTCTTTATCTCCCCTTGCTCTCCCCTCTCCCATATTTTTTCTTTTAATATATATTTTTTTTCTCTATATACATATTTTTCATATTTATTTATTTATTTTTACATATATATATATGTAAAATGTTCAATATATATATGTATATATATTGAAATTCTATATTGGAATTGCTAACTGTGGTTGCCTGCCAGGCCTCTTTCGGGGAAAAAATGAGACTGAAGGGTAGCAGGACTGTTGGGAGTCTGGTTGCCTAAGGAGCTAGGGATGAAATCTTCTGCGCTAGATGATCACAACTCTTCTTTGGCTATTCAGTCATGAGACAGCAAAGGCTTTCAAGGATCAACAACAGATTTATGGTGAAGCAAAGGCAAGAAAAGATGCAGGAGGATGTTTCCAAATGAATTTCTTCAGCCAGTGCTGCTAGAAAAGATAAATTTGCAAAATCTCAGGCTCTCAATAGGTCATCCAGCCTTCCTCCTCCTCCAAACAGAATATCTGCTGTGGTCTTGACAGTTGTTTGTCTAGCCAGTATTCAAAGATCACCATTGATGGTGATTATTTTGCCTCCAGGCAAAATAATGCCTCCTTCCATGTCCCTTTTTATGAGATATTTTTCTTTGTATGTGTCTTGAATATTTTTTGTAGCTACTATTTGGTCTATTCTCTGTGGACATCAAAAGAAGAAGATTTTTTCTTCTTTCATAAAAAGTTTGCAAGTCAGCACACCTGATGGGAGTTGTTTTTTTGTGTTTTTTTTTTTTTTTTGTTTGTTTGTTTGTATCTTGCATTTTTCAATGCGTGTTGTGTACCAATAACTGCAGTAATGGGAGTTCAGATCTGAAAACAGTGCCTGACTCTACTGATCAAAGTTCAGTTGTGGATGTTAGAAGACCTAAAAATGTGAAGTTCAGACTGGAGTTTAGATGGTGTATTCTGGCTGGGGTCCAGCGTGGCTAAAAATCCATGTTGATGTAGAGACAGCAGCCATAACAAGCTGGGCTGATGGGCTGCCAGCCAGGCTGTTGTAAAGTACTGGAAGAAACCTGTTTCATGTGTCAGATATAAACTGCGTAACAGAGCCAGGGACAAAATGCATCCCAACATTAATGTCCAGGATTACCAGCTGCTCACACAGCTTGTCTGGGGGCCAGGCATCTCCCAGAATGCCAAGAAATATCTGGTAGCTGTCATATACAGATCTATTCTGTGAGGCACAAAGAAATTGCATCGAGGCCTTCAGAACATCAGAAAATGCTACAAAACACTCTCGGAAGTCAAAAACACTCTTGGGAGGTAATCTTGTCCTCTTAGGACAGCAGCCATGATGCTGGTTCCCATTCCAGCTTTTGCCACTCAAGAGTGGATGCAAAATACAGAAGCATATTGTCTGCTGTCACAACTCATCTGTGAAGCAGATGTTTCTTTTGGGGGAATTATTCATGCTAAAGATCACACTTCAAAGTAAACAATAATTGTCATTTGTTGCCTGTTTAAAAAAAAAAAAATAAATGAAAGCTGGAAATCAAACTAATGAGTACATTTCCTCAAGGGAACAGACAGAACAGGGAATATGATGCTTTTGCAGAAGTTCTGATACATAGGTTGCTCTGAAAGAAATGCCTCTTTATTTCTGTGGAAACTATAGTGGATACAAAGAGTACAGTAACACTGATAGAGCACATTTTCAGCTACAAAACACTTTTTCAATATAGTCACCACCATTAGCTGTGTATTTTTGCCAACTATGAACAGGAGTCTGCATGCTGTGCACAAAAAGTTCTGCACAAGCAGATGTGACCCACTGTTTCACAGCTGTTACAGTGGCATCACTGCTAAGAAAATGTCTGTGTGGTCTGTCTTTCATCAGTCTGAACAGGTGGAATTCAGAAGGCACCAATTCCAGCTACGTGCTGGGACAGTCCACCCAAGATTGGCAATATGTTCCATGGTCTTCAAACTGGTAGGGGGCCTGTTGTTACTGTATTGTGAGAGAAAGGTTGTCTTCTTCTCTGGCCTGTCTTTAGAAGTTTGAGCCCCCAGTTCAGTAAGCACCGTGATGAAGCAGGTCAGGATCTGCAGTCTGGGTTAGCTTTGTAAACCCAGTTCTCAATGTAATGTGTCTCAACTTACACAGGCCAAGAAGTCTGCAGAGAGAGTAAGCTGCAGTGGGTTTTCTGATGGGCCACTGCTTTACAGCCTACTAGTTAAGACTCCATTTCAGGATGCTAATATGACTTTACATAAACCAAAAGCAGCTGTGTTTCAACTCACTATACGGTTTATCCCACAGGACAGTTCTCAGCTACCTTGATTCAAGTACAGGATGAATCGTGGCCTCTGAGTGTACACGAATAACCTGGGAAACCAGACTTGTCATATGGTTCTGGGACTCAGAGACTGTGTTTCTACTAAGTTAAATGGTGCCAAGGAATGTTCTCAGGAACTGACCCAAGCTGTCTGTGTAGCTGCACTGCCAGAATGATCCTTTTGCCATAGAGCTGCAGACCTCTATTTTGATATTTGAGATTTTGGATTTCCTTAACGATGGATAACAAAATTATTTCATCAGCTCGATTCTGACCTTTTCTAACTGACCACATGTCATATTTTAAAGCACGAGAGATGCCTATTTTGCCTTTGTACCAGCTCCACAAAGAACGCTATATAGGAATTCAGCAGAAAATTTCCACCTATTTACTGTTACTTAAACCTAAGAAGTTATTTCAAAAAATGAGGAAAAATACTGTGATTTCTACTATTTGTCTCTTCTTGGAAATTCCATGGATCATTTATCAATGAACCAAAGACTAATTTAAAAACTTCTGAGGGTATTCTGAAGATAGGCTTCTTCAAGGCTTCTCATCATCAGTTCAGAAGCATATGGCCAGGCCTAGTGCAATTACTTGTATGAACTTTGAGAGTGATTGTTTAATGCCATAACCTTCATTATGTTATGCTAAAAACGTTCCCTGCAAGTTTGCATCCCAAAGATGATGCTGTTTTGGTTGGACTAGCTTGAGAAAAAATGCTGTGGTTGAGCTCTTGGGATGAGTGTTTTACTTGGAAGGTAGGAAGAAAATGTTGATGTTCTCTGGATTTGTGTGTGCTATAGCTGACAATTCAAGACATGCTGTGGTAGTTTTATTCCTTAGCTCCTAACAGAAGCCTGTCTCCCTGTGCTGATTCCAGATTTATGAGCACGGTGTGTAAATTGTTACAGAACAGAGTGCTGGATAATTAAACAGCTGCTTAGCACAGAGCTCCTTCATTCTTTAATAAGCAGATGTTTTGTCTTGTTGCTGATTTCAAACATCCCATGGTAACATGCTATATGCATAACATTACTCATATTTTTAATATTTTGGTGTGTTCCTAACCAAAGATCAAAGCTCCGTGCCCCATTATGTGAGGTTCTGCACAGGCAGTTGGCACAGAAGAGATCCTAAATGAGTGCCAATCAGCGCGTCTCAACTGAGTGCAAGGGAACAACAGCAGTTCACGCTGGCTGACATTTCCCTTGCAGATGTCAGACGAGATGCCATGATTTCCATACCAATGGCAGTGGGTGGGAGGATGAAGTAACAGGAGGAGCAGAAATGAGCAGGGATGCAGAAGTCGGAGCTTGCCATTTGCCTTTTTCCTGCAGCTGAACAATAGCAATCTGAGTTATTCATCTCCATCCACCCCTCTTAACAGCAGGATTCCCTTCTGATGATATCGTGTGGCCTTTTGAGTGTGTTAGCAGAGGAACTAGATTCTTTTTTTGTATTTACCTTCTGTGTTATCAGACACAATAAGCAATTCCCAAAAGGCAGATGAGGTGAATAAAACAAAGCATCAGGTTAAATGATGTATCAATTTAGGAAGATGTTTGTGCACCGTGATTTTACGTTTTGTACTGTGCTGGATTTAAGAGTGACATGTGTGCAGAGCCATGGAAAGCAGGTGCAGCCCCGAGGTACGAGACCTTCTGTCCTGCCCTGCTTGTGGTCTCCCTTTCTGCTGCTGAAGTTGCTTCCTGGGACAGCGTGTTCAGCAGCTGATAAGAGCACGTGAATAGAAAGAGAAATATTATAAATATCAGGAAGTGGCAGCCAGATTGTTCCAAGGTTGTGTATTGTGTGCTAGTGAAGCAAGATAGCCTGACTCTGTTATCAGTGCTGTCCATCAAACACTGATTTCTGTATCTGTATCTTCCACATATAAACATTTCTATTTGTGAGCTTCACTGGGAGGAATTCAGACAATGTTGATAATTGTGGACTTTCTGATCTTCAGGAGGAATAAATGTGCCCTGTTAGGGAATGCACTGCTCCTATCCCTAACCTGTGTTATACACATTTATACATAATCTCAGTATAACTATAATGGGAATAAAATTTATGCTTTAATTCATGTTTGTTCACTGGTTGGGAAAAAAATGTCCATGAACTGCGAGGTAGCAGATCTGCTTATTCCATAGATAAACTGTTGTTGTATGTGGCCCACATCCTGCATTTTTATATATCATTCCAATTCCTCAGCTGTTTCAAATTCATCTACCTCTCTGAAAGTGAATGAAGCAGCTGTGCCAAATTCAGAGCCTGGCTGAGTCTGGATTAATGTCTGGAGGTGCTGAATTTCCCAAGGCTGGCGCTTCAGCCATTAACTGATGCAGAAGAAACAACTGCCTTAGAATGTCTCTCTCCCTTTCACATAAAGGCAGAATTCTGAAATTATTGTGTAACATGCCCTTCTTCCCATTACACGATCCTCATTCTGTTCACCATTATTTTTAATAGACCAATTTTCTCTCTTGCTTTTCATCCACTGAGTCTTTACTATTATTATCATCAAAGTGTCTGTGGGCTGCCAGCATTTGATATTTCATTTCACTGATTTAATTATGTCTGCAGCCTGTTCTGGGGCTGTTTATTTTTATAGATCTCCAAATCCTCTTTTTTATCAAATTGTTTACATCTGAATCCATTTGTTCACTGTTTATATGTCACTTTGCAATTGTATCCTCTTCTACTTCGCATTTGTTCCTGAGGTGTGTCTTAATTCCATCAAATTTTATGAGTTTGTGGGCAGACAACTAAGAGGAGAAGATCTTCCTAACTAGGGGTGAAAGGAAGTTCTGGACACAGCTAACACCATCTGCTTTTTCACCCCTGCTTCCTGCAGGCATATGTGAGTTTGGAACCATGTATGTTACCAGTTATTGGGAACTGACAGCTCACAGGAAGCTGGGAGAGTGTTAGATTAAAGGAAGAGACATTTTACACGTTTGCTCCTGTATGTGCAGTTTACAGAGGGTATAAATATGTAGGTATTGTAGGGTATGAATAAACAGGGTGTTTACTGAGCTTAGTTTAGTTTCCAAAGAGTGGAGATTCTTTGGCTCTGGGCATCCTGGTCTGCTGATTGGCAACCCTGCACATAGCAGGGGGATTGAAACTAGATGATCATTGTGGTCCTTTTCAACCCAGGCCATTCTATGAGTCTATGATTCTTTATTGCAGAGGGTTGCAGAAGATGATGACAACAATATGAGTGTAAGAGTGAAATTTTGGCTTAGCAGTGCGTCGTGACACAGCATGCCACCAAGAAAGCTCTTAGAACTATTGATCTTCTGGGGAATTTCAGTCTTGCTTTGAATTTTGCTGACTGACCTCCTGTCATTGCAACTACTTCAGCAGTGGTGATGCACATATGCATGCACGTGCTGCAGTTCTGTTGAGTTTCTTGCTTCTGCTATAATTAAGAGTCCATAAATAAGTGCTTCTAATGCACTTGACTAGAGAAAGTAATTGCTGTTTAAATGGATAATTTATTGTGTGCTAATTAAAAGCCCAATAGGTGAGAACATTTTAATGAAATGTAACTTAACTCAATAAGGAGGTTTTTAATAATCATTAGTAGCCTGATATATACCTGATGCAGCAGTTCTGTAATGACAAGCTCTAATTGATGTTTTTAACATATTTTTATTGTGGATAAATTGCTGTTTTGTTGTATATCTCTTTTCCTGTCTTTCACATGCACACCTTCCTAGCGGGAGGCCCAATTCTACTTTATTACAGTTGATTTTTCCATGCCGTGGGAACTCTCTCCCTTATGCTGGTCAACTCATCTCAGTTACACCAGCATGAAGCAGGATGTGAGCGAACAGACGTAAGGTGCTGCCAGCTTCTACTGAAGAAAAGGTACTAACTTTTAATTTCAGTTGACTATCGGAATGTATAATACAGATCTGCTTTTTTTCCTTGTTTGACTTACAGTATGAGGCAGGGAAACCCTCAAAGTGTCCAAGGTTCCAACCACTTATCTTAGAGCAGAATGGTTATACAAAAAGAATGGTCTCTCTTGGTAACGGATTTCACTTTCAAAAAAGGAAGCTTAAGAACAGGGGCTGGAAAGTGAATGTGCCTCACACAATGGAGCAGCGTGCCAGGAAGATATTTGAGCTGGGAAGTAGTATCTAAGGACTGAGAGAGTAGATGGCTGATTTTCTTGGCAAATATAATATGAAAAAGCTGCACTGACCTTTGCAGGATGAGAGGTAATGGCCCTAAATTGCCCCCAGGGGAGGTTCAGGTTGGATATCAGGAAAAATTTCTTCTCAGAGCAATGATGCGTTGGCTGCCCAGGCTGCCCAGGGAAGTGGTGGAGTCACTGTCCCTGGATGTGTTTAAGAAAAGTGCAGACATGGCACTGAGGGACGTGGTTTAGTGAACGTGGTGGGAATGGGTTGGTGTTTGGACTGGATGATCTTAGTAGCCTTTTCCAGCCTTTCTGATTCTGTAATTTCACTGTGCTTTTTTGGTGTATTTTTCCACCACTGGACAATAACTGTTCTTACATTTCTGAGAATTTAAAGAATGGTCTTCTGAGACTGAAAAGCACAGAACATGGAGTGGAGGCTGTTAGTAGCTCTGGTGGGATGGGGTAACCATTAAAAGGTCACTGCACTTTCCTGGGTTCCTTTTCCCCCAGTATTAAATGGAGATAACTACATGTTTCCTTCATGAAGCCATTTGGTATATATCCTGTTGAAAAATCTATATATAAGCATTCGTCTTTTTTGTCACTCAGGCACTGATACAGGAATTTCTGGAGCACTCCTACATGTTGAGAATCACACTGATACTGTGGATGAGAATATTAAATTCTGGTGCTGAACCTGGCTAATTTGAAAATGACGTATTTTTCTAGGGTGATGCCTCAGATAAATCTTATATAAGAAACTGAATTACATTTATAGCTAGAAAGGACTGCAGGATTTTATGATCATCTCAGCACTCCTGCATTTAGTAAATTATCTTGTGTTTGATTATGACAGGGTACCTCTTAACATATGTCAAAGTTCTTGTTTCCTGGAAACTAAACTCTGGTGGAAAGCATTTTGGTTTTTTTTTGTTTGGTTGGTTTTGGTTGTATTTTGTTTTGTTTTTTTTTTTTTCATCTGATTTGTTTGTTTGGGGCTTTTTTTGTCTTTTAAGTCTGAACAACCCATTGGTTTTACAGCTCTTTGGTTCCTGCCACTGGAAAGAGATACCCATAGATTAAATAGTTAAATAAGAAAATCCCCTGGGGTTTGATCTGATGAAGGTGATGCTCATTTAGAGAAGGAGCAAATACTTTAACAAGTACTATCCTGATGAACTATCCAACTTGACTTCTGAAAAGTAACTATTAAATGGAGAGAAGAAACCATAAAATGTAAGTGCAAGCTTGAATGCTGGTATCATAATCCGATCGTAGTTAATTTAATTGTGGGCTTCAGATGCCATATTTGGAATTCTCAGTTTCAACCCAGTTTTTAGTAGACAATGAAGAACCTTCTGAAGGATTCAGAATAGCAGTTCAGAAGGTCTAATCAAGTCAGCAAACAGGGATCCACTTTAAGTCAAGACAGAGAAAACAGTGGGCAAAAGCTGATACAGCCCACTGGATGCAGGCAGAATAGTCAGAGGAAAAACAATAGGGCATGATTTGGAGAAACCAAACTTTCACATAACCAACTAATAACATTTGGAGAAAATGAACAAGCTTTCAGGCATTGAAATGCTTCTGCAGGTTTGGCAAAGAAAAGAAAAAATTTGAAGCTTTGTCCAGCTTGCTAAGAAATGAGCATTTAACTTGAGATAATCACCTGGACAATTAGGAAGACAAAAAGGTGAACTGCTTAGCCTTAATGGAGCATCTGGGGATACAAACAAAAGGTCATGAGTTAATGTGCCCCTGCAAGACAGAAAGAGGGAGTGGGAGCTTAAAGAGAGCTCTTGGGAAAGGTAGGAAAGTGGCACCACCGAACCATTGCCTGTGCTGGCTTCCATGGGTTTTAGTGCCTGGGAGAACTCTGAATTTCATTTCCCAAATATTTGATTAGTGTCCTTTGGGGCAGCTGGTAGATTAGGAATTTGAATTGGCAGACTTGCACCTAATTGTAGTCAACACAGCAGCAAACCAATCCTGAAAAACCACAGTAGGGACTAATTCAGAAATGTCTTAACACAGAATATGAAGAACATTTTTCCCTCCCCTCAGCTCCAGATTCCTACTCTAAATGTTAAAAAAGAAACCTTAAACTCGTCTGAATTACAAGAAAAACTGTCAGCCTCCCTCAAAATGGGGGAAGAAAGTACTTGTAAAATGCTTATGCATTATATAACACGTACCCATATATCATTTATATGGACATTAGCAACTTGTGTTATTTCCTCATTTTGGAGGCGATGCATTAAAAGTGAAAATGCCACTGCTGCTACTTTCTTCTTACATAAAGCAGATTTGTGTCCACAGTTCCTGTGTGCAAATCCTTCTCCATGATTTTCAAAAAGCTGATTGAATGCTATTCCAATAGCTTGGGAAGTGTGGCCAAACAGATAAAGATGGCATATAAGGAGCCTGGTGGGCACCAGTGCCAATTTCATGCCCATGCTCTGCCTTGATTAAAGCAGAGATGTTTGCATATGTCTTGTATCTCAAGGCATTTTGATGCACATCCCCTCCTGCTGAGCCAGCAAAGCTCCTCTCACACCTATTGCTTTTACATAGCAGATGCACATTAATGGAAGCAGTCAGAGCATGCATCTACCTGGTTCATGATTTGTACGTCTCTAGAGTTATCCTTAAAATGCAGACAAAGTTTAAAAAGAAATAGAAGAGAGTTGCAGAAAATCCAGATTAATAGTTGACAGTTGAAATAGTTTATCCTCTTACACAGGGGTATTAATTACTAAGTGTGTCTTCAGTCTCATTTGCAGGGTTTCCCTTTCACTATCTGAAAGGGAAAGCAGTAGATTAATGAGAGAGGCTGGGAAGGTGCCACCTTGTAAGGAGCTGCATGGAAATGTGCCACTTAAAAGGCACAAACAAGTTTTATTGCAACTGCCAAACCCGGGAACCATGTAACATCCTACTATGGAATATACTGTAACGAAATCAACAATTTGCTCACATTTATCGTGTTGTTGTGTTTTGTTTTCAGATCTCCATATGTAGGAAAACATTTTGAATTTTCTGCCAAAGATTTCCAAATTAACATCTAAAAGAATTTTTTTCCCCTTTTTTGTACTGTCTCTGGGTTATATGGGTGCTGTGAGGCTGCTCAGCCCATGCTTTAGAGATTTCTGCATAAATGCCATTAATACAGTGCAGGAGAGGATGATAGATATGAAGCTTATAGAAACGAAGCTAATACTGAGACTTACTGTTTTTATTTCCTTGTGCTTTTGCATTTAAATTTCATAGCAGTGAAACTCTTGATGGGCACAGTGTGGATGGAAGTGGTAGAACTGGAAGATCTTGGTGGTCTTTTCCAACCTTTCTGATTCTTTGACTCTGTGACTCCAGGGAGGACAAAACACCATTCCTGTTCACAACGAAGGAGCCACAGCCCATGACCTCCAATGGCAAGGCTTTGCCACCACCAAGGGGCACAGAGTGCAATGAGCGGCGCTGAGCTGAGCAGTGAGGAGATGGCTGCACAACTAGCGTGGAAGCTTTGACTTTATGGTAAGTCAGATCTCTTAATATTGTTTTACTGTATTTTTTTGAGCTTCATATTTAATTCAGGTCAAATCTGATCTACTAAACAGCGCTGTTCTGTAGCGCACACACCAGATACACGAGGTGCTGTTTTAGCATAGCTCTGACCTAGTTACTTCACACAATGTTGTTTAAAAGCAAAAATTGAAATCCCTTATCTAAACAAAAATGAGCCTTTGTTCTCCTGCTTATTGTGGCATTTTGCATGCATTTGGTTTCAAAGGCTGATAACGTTTACTATTCTGAATCTTTCATGGGCACCATAAGGGCTTTTCCGTTTTGGTAACCAACCCAACAGCATGCTGGAGAAATGAATGTCTGCCATTTGAGATATATGGAGCCACCTTGACAAATCTGATGGCTGAAACTACTTTTTATTATTCTTTATTAATATTTATCAACAAGAGTTGGTAAATATTAATGAAACATTAAAAATAGCTACATGTGTTTAAAGAATTACTCTGTTTTTGTTACTGCTATCAGAAACAAAAGATGAGTTACTGGCAGGAAAGAACAGGAAAACCAAAAACTGAAATGTTCAGATGTTTAAAGGACTCTTAGAATACAGATGTGCTTCTCTAATCTTTCTAAAATGGTTCCACATTCTCACATGAGTCTCTTCATATATAAGTATCTCTCTCTCTATATATATATGCATTTAAAAGGATTGTGAATGTGAGAGGAAAAGATAAATTAGGCTGTGAAAAAAAAAGTGTAAATTTCAATTTCAATATACATTCTGATTTTTAAAAGTAGACCTAGAAATCCATAGAACAGCTACAGGGATTTTCCAAGTTTGTAATCAAACATGTTTTTCATTAATATTTTTTCATTATGTTTGATTTTAGAAATCTTAATGGGTTCTGATGATTGTTATTAAAATGGGAAAAGTGACTGTAAAATGCAAGCCATGCAAAATGAAAGAGAACATTCTGTCTTCAACCCCCCCACCTTAGCTATCAAGAAAATTAATGTTTAATTAAAAACCTGATTTTAGAGAAATAGTTGTGTTCTTTTGTTATAAAAAGATTATGACAAATTGTGAAATAGCTGTGCTACAAGGCAGTTATTAGGCAAATTTCACCAAGATGGTTAGGCAGTGCTTGTTACTGACTTGGCAGGGAAAATGCTAATATCCTAATGGATTGATTTAAGAAGTGCCAGGTAATTTGTAACACTTCAAGGAAGTCCAGTGATTGCATTTACAAGGAATAGAAATGGGAGCTGGAATGAATTGCTAAGGCCAAGGGAATAAGGATTCGGTCATTCTTGTGCAGTTAGTCACTGGGATTCTGCAGTTGTCATAGACTATTGCTTAGACTGTTGCTTAGCAGGACATCAGGGTGCACCACTTTCCAATATTTCCAGTCTGTGGTCTCTGTTTGGACAGGCTGTTTCCCATCTTGTTTTCTCATCTTGCTTCTTTCCTCCATTCATGTCTTCCCCTTTTTCCTGCTTCTTTTTGATACCACTGGAAACATAACACTTAATACTCCCACATATCAAATTCTCAAAAGTGAAACCAGACCATGCTTCCATCCCCTTTTATCTAGTGTTTAGTGTGTTGGGCTTTTGAAAGCATTGATCACTGTTAGACATAAAGACTGCCGAGGACCTCGTCAGACAGCACGGTTCAGATGTGTACAAGATCAGACGTGCCATGGTGGTGGAACAGCTGTTTCAGAAGTAAAAGTGAGAAAAATAGCTGGCATTACATGATCCAGGTCATGCAAGGTTACTTGTATGATACCAGTCAACTTTTGCATACTTATCTGCTTTCCAAAATTGCATGTAGTAGGAATAGAACATAAGAGATTGCTGCTTCTGCTGGTTGGACTGAAACCGGTGTTTACAAAGCTGTTGTCAGTGGAGAGACATCAAAACCTTGCCTTGGGTGATACACCACAATTCCCAGTCCCCTGTTGTTCCCAGGAACAGCAGCAAAATATGGCTGTGGCCTTCCCTCTTATTCCTAGCCATGAGTTCCATCAATCTGATGTCGCAGATGGTATTGGAGCTTGGAGAGTTCTCTGAAACTTCATCCCTTCCTGAGCTTTCTTCATGAACATCAACCGGAGAAGAGTGAAACGTTGCCTATGAGTGTTTCATCATTTGAAAGGCTGAACAACTGTTTCCAATTCCTTGCCTTACCAGTGTCTTCTCAGTGATGACTTTATTCCCTCTCTTTTTGAACAAGGCTGAGTGGACTCTCTGAATCTAATTTTATTTAAATTTGAGTGGAAGCCAGGTTGTCTTAACTGCTTTTCCCTGACTTTCTGCTCATTCTTCCTACTTGAAGGCACGTCTGTCTTGGATGTGGATATAAAGAGTAAGGGCAGACTTGTTAGGCTGCTGTCATTGAGATTCTCCTTTGGCTTCTAGTATTTGTGGCTAATACTTAGAAATTAGTCAAGTTGGATTTTTTCACTTCATGTATGATTATGGTAGGCATAATTCTGCTGTCACTCATGCAAGAATAAATGCTGAAACTAATGGAGATACATGAAAGTAAAACTGATCTAAATGAGAACAGAATCAGGCCCCCTATGGATATGAGATCAAAGTACTACCACACTTTATTTACACTGAAACTCCTTCATACCACTCAATCACACACAAAATGATTTGAAATTGGTGGAACAGTGATATCTACTCACTTTAAGACGCTGTTATTCTTGCAGAGCGGTGGTAAAGTCTCTAATGTATGTGTGAATAAAATTCCCTCCAAAGAAAGGAGAGAAAGGCAGCAGGTCCTGGCACCAGCACAGCCCTCCCTGCCATTGGGTACATGGCTTTGGACCCCACTGCTCCCTTTCTGCATCAGAGAGGGCACCAGTACTCTGAAGGCTGGGTACTGTTCAACACATGGGGAAGCAACAGTAATTTTGCTTCTTTGCTTCTTGGCCCCTTGGGAACTTCTGCTCAAAAGACTTTTATTTTGGTCATACTATCAGTCTTGCTGCAGCACAGATGTGCACAGTTGTCTCTGGGAAGGCTTACTCAGGGAGATCACATTTCTAATCTGTTTGCTAATAAGTGCGTAATGGGAGGCAGAATATTTCTTTCTCGTGTTGAAGAGTCTCCAGTTAAATAATTAATTGATATTGAAGTGGGTCCAATTTATACTGGATTAAGCAATAGTGAAATGTCTTCCCTCGAGTGGAGAGCAGCACATTGTGCGCATCTATAACCATCTTGTAGCATTCACTGAAGGCAGGAGGAATACTGCATGATTAGAGTGCATCTAAAATACAGAATAAAGGCACCAGAATCGATCTGCCGCCTTCATCACAGGATCAGTTGTTGCCAAATAGGATTTGCTGGGTCTGCTCAAAGCCAGCACAATTGGATGGGGCAGGGAGGAAGCTCTTAGCAGAGCACTGGGAGTCTCAGCCGGAATGAGCATCTGCTCCCCGGTTGCTCTTGTGATTCTTCTTGGCAAGGAACTACATAATCAGCTTTCTGGTAAATTCTTCCAAATCCTTCTTTGCTTTGATTCTGTGTAGAAAACTACATAACTCTCAGATAACATGTATTGCTATGATGAGTCCTGAAATTTGATGTTAAATGAAATGTCAGATAATGAAACTGTAAATCCTGTCTTCTTAAAAGTGACTGAATGAACTGCTGAAAATAACCCATCATCTTCTTGAGGAGCAGCCAGGTTAGATGATGATAATGGTATTTCCCAAATGGACAGTGACATTGATGTTTTATATGTGATATACTGAGACCCCATCTCTGACCTGTATGCAAGATGAGGAATGAAATGGTTTTCAGTAATAACAGAAAATCTGATGATATATTTAAGATGCTTATTGTTGGCCTGTCACCTTATGGAGCCTTTCTAACCCCAGGGGATCACCAGATAGATATCTATGATGCACATACATCATTGGCTGGGAAATATGATGCAGCTCCCGCTGACTTATTTACTGAGAGAGCAACTTTTTCTGTACTTCTTCCATAACGTGTCTGAAAATGCTGTCATTTTTAACACTGCAAATCAATATTGCTTAAGTATGAGAGGGACACTGAAAAAATTTAAATTGGATAACAGCATGAAAATCTGAACATTTAAAGCATAATTAGCTGGTAGTATTTTAACAAACTCTCTAAAGAATATGTAGAAAAAACAGCTTGTTTACTGAGCTCAGCATTAAGAGCTATCCTGTAATTTATTATCTGAAAATGTGGTACTGCATACCCCTAATTTTATAATCTGTTGACTCAAACCACAGACTGTCAAACACATTTCAAGATTATCCATGTTTGCATGTCATATTATATTTTTTGGGGAACGCAGCTTCTATTTATTCTTAACTCTGCTGATGATTTTCTCAGATTTCTGCCATATGCTGCACGTCACAGGTGAGTATTTTACTGTCTTAAAATTTGACAGCTGTATCCAGTTTAATAGTTCTGTCATCTCAGCATTGCCATTAGCACTGAATTACAACAGAGGATATTTAAACGTTGGATTAGAGTGTCACATATTTGTCAAATAACAAACAACAAGGGCAGACATTGTGAAAGGAGTCAATGAAACTTTAAAAACATCAGTCAGTCAACAAAGGTATAAAAACTGAGTCAGTGACTAACTAAACAAAGTTTGTTCAATGTTTATTTGTTAAACTGCAGTTTTATGCATCTATCTTGCTATAGATTTTATGCATAATACACACACACTGGCCAAATTCCTGTCAGTTGAAAAAGGCACATAGACAAATATATTTAATGAACAGTTTGAAGTTTACAGAAAGAAGAGGATTTATAGGCCTGAATTCAGAAAGGATGGGGATACGGTCTTGGGCATAAGTGCATATTATCTTGCTTTCCAGGGTGTTTTATGCAGAATAGAGGCAAGATGCAGTACTGTAAAATGTTAATAATGTTAATAATTGTTCAGCTCTTTTGAAACCTCATTCTGGTCCTGCTGAAAGTAAGCACTCACCCTCGATCAGAACCACAGAAAAAATAAGAGGTTAGCTAGATAAATACAATGAAAAACACAGCCTTTTAAACATCAAAGTCAAACAAACAGTGAAATGATAGCAGTCATTCAATTTCATCTGCTTCCTGCTATAATATCATCAGCCCAACAAAGCACTGAAACACAGGTGCAATGTAAATCCTCTTTAAAAAGGGATTATTCATGTGCTTGAAATTATATACTTTATTACATCTGAACCACAGCTCTAATGCCCATCAGGCATTAGGAGGCAGTGCTTATTCTGTTTATTTTCACACTATGATTTTTAACTGACCTTGAAAGTTTAACTCCTGTGGGTGAGCATTTTTTCTCATGGAAGCAGTTCCTCTGACACGTTCCAGTTACTCAGTTGGACTCGATGATCCCTGTGGGTCCTTTCCAGCTTGGGATATTCTATGATTCTATTATTTGCTCTGCCTTTACTAGAAACAGTTTTTTTGCTATTGCTCCCAAACCTGCTATGCAAGGATTGGCCTCTTCATTCTTGGCACTGCTGTGCTGATTGGAAAACTTGCAGCAAATGGCAAAATCTTGCACGTGGTATTTATCTAATCAGCTTCAAGGAGACTCTTCGCTAACTTTGCCAATGAAAACTAGATACTAGCTTAGTCTTCAGGTTCTGTAGTAATAATATATAGTATTTACAAATCAAGTGATGCATAAAGCAGTTCTTCACCACCTGCCAACCGATGCCCAGACCGACCTTGAGTAGTGACTGATTTCCCCAGCCAATCCCCCTATTTTTTTTTATGATGTCATATCGTATGGAATATCCCTTTGGCCAGACTGGGGCAGCTGTCCTGGTTCTGTCCCCTCCCAGCTCCCAATGCCCAGCACCCCTCACTGGCAGGATGAGAAACTGAAATGCTTTTGGCTTTGTGCAGCCACTGCTCAGCAGCAACTAAAGCATCGGTGCGTTATCAACACTGTTCTTCTCCTGCAGCCAAAACTCCAAAACACAGCATCATACCAAACACTATGAAGAAGATCGACTCTGTCCCACATGAAAGCAGGACAGAAACAGAAAGCACAAATCAGTGCTCAGTGTCACTCAGCCTCCTCTCTTCTGGGCACTTTTGGTACATATGTGATGAGGTTATCAACCTCAAAATTCAATCTGAAGCCAGTTGATGTTTTATGAGTCAGAGCTGGAGCTGGCAGCACGGTGGGACAATATATTTCCAATTAGCAAATATTTTAGTGTGTGCTGGCATATCCTTCAGTCAGTAGCTCTCCCAGCCCTTCTTGTTTACTTTGTTGAGGATTGTTCTTGTGAGGTTTCTCTGAACAGATTTCACTGCTGGCAGGCAGGTGATGGAAAAGCAGCTTCTGTCCATTTTTAAGCCTCAAGGACATAGGTACTCACCAACATTGCAGCTCCCAAGCAATGGGCTCTCCTCTCCAAGTCAGTCTCCAGTATCCGGGCTAACACAGGGAAAAATTCTGAGCAAGTGGGATGGCCAAGCCTTCACAGATAAGGAATGTGGGATATGTGTGTGAATCTCCTGAAAAAATTTTGTATTTGCTCATCATTTTTTGAAGCATTCAGTAAAGTGAAAATTTTTTGTGAAGCAAATCCAATTCCGAATAGTTCACAGAGAATAATAAATCTGTGAACTCCAACAAACCAATCCATATTTAGGAGGAAATAACCAACTTGCAATCTTGAGTTATATGATATGCCACTTCCTATAAGTTCTGTGATCAAATGAAAAGAAAAATGCTTTTGTTTTCTGAGCTCCTCTATTTACAAAGTGCAACTATTGATCAACTATTAATCAAAAGACGGATGGGACAGAGGCCTTCATCCCTGAGTTACATTTCCTGGATGTGGCTCCAATGGGAGCTCCAAAATCACAGCAGAAGCACTGGGACTTTTCCTTGGGGAGAAAAGAAAAGCTTTGGCTTCGTTAATATGAGAAAATTTTTCTTTGGCCACTTTTGCATTTGAGCATCTCTGGCATAATAGGAGACACTGTTCGGTCTTGCATTTTTATTTCATGTTTTTCCTCATATGACACTCTTTCCAGCTCATTTTTCTGTTTCACTTTTTAAGCTGCTGCTTTTGCTTTAGCAGGAGAGTCTGAACACTTTATTGATTAAGCTGCCTGTTTTTCAGTTTCATCATATTCTTCATTTGAATGTGTATCTGTTTTGCTGAATCAGCTGTGTATTGAAATGCTTGAGGATTCAACTACTTTTTGAGCTGCATCTTTGGTTTAATCCTCTTGTGCTTTTTTGCTTACTCAGCTGGCTACTAAACCAAGTAATTTTGGGGGTGGAGGGATTGCACTGCCAATTTCATTTCTGACTGGGAAAAATATACTATAAAATGAGTTCCAGTCATTCATGACTACAACTATATATTGTCTAAATGAACTGCCTTTTAAACACTGAAAAAAAGAACCCTTTTATTATTATTTATCTTTTTATTATTACTTATTATTTGCTCTTTTTCCTTTACTTGCAGTGTTTGCAACCGAATGTAAGAAATACTTGGAGAGTTCCCAACCTGGAAGACAAACATAAATGATTGGGAGCACAATCTGAAGCCAAGTGTGTGAGGTGATTCAGTTTAAAATTTAAGATCTGTTCATTTGCTCTTTAGCATCTGTGAAGGCTGGAAAGCGAAGTACACAGCCTAGCAAATGGAGCACAGGTTGAGATTCAGCTGCATCTCAAGCAGGCACTAGATTGCTATGACAGTAGCTCCTCTCAGAAGTGAGACTTGGATCACAGATAACTATTTTCACATGATGGATATCCCAAGCTCTAAGGGGTGCTGTGTTGTGCAGTCCCAGTCCTAACTCTGACTATAGAAACCATGGCTCTCTCTATCCAATTCCTGCTTTTGGTATTGAGCTCCTGATCAAGACCATAGAAATGCTGCAGAAGTTGTATCTGGCCCAAGACTAATTAGTTTACCTCTTGGAACAGACTGCACATTGTAGCACACAAACAGGCAACTGATACCACTGACCTTGGTGAGGAGAGTGAGGTCCATTGCCAGCAAAGGTATGATTCTGCAGCTCAAACATCTGCCTTAGAATCCTTCCTTCTTCCTCATCCTCTTTCATCATCAAGCAAAACCTGGGAGCACCTGAAATCAGCACTGGCTTCTGCAAGTCTTTGATGTAGGTGCCAATCCGTGTACCCTCTGGGATTTCTATATGGAACATACTGATTCACAACTGTTCACCTTGAACTGGATGCAAGATGCCATCAGAACAGAATTGGAAGCTTCACTCCTAAAGCTGCTTTGATGTTTAACTGTGTTCAGTTCACCTAGAAAGCACACTGAAGAGCTGCCAAAAGCAGACCAACTGCCAGCCAGACTGCCTGGCTGGCAAAGCCTCTCCTCCTTCTCTGCCTTTCCTGCTGCCTGCAGCCCAGGAGTGACCTGATGTGTCTTGGCCATGCAGCACACAAAACAGAGGCAGAAAATCCAGCATCCAAATAGGGATTCCAGTAACTGGCTAAATCTGCTTGGTGAGCTGGCTGCCAGCCAACACACTCATGGCTATCTGCATCTGGATTGTCCTGACAGTGCTCCTTCACAGCAGGACCAGAGACTTGCAAGAGTATTTTTAACTTACTTTGCTGCCCCTTTCTCCTCTCTGGAGAGGGAAGACCCTAAAAACTTGCAGGGGCTTTCTCACTGACATTAAAATAGCCCCCAACATATCTACTCCCTGTGGAGTCAGAAGAGGTTTGTGCAACTTGGTTGCTTTAGTTGTCATGCATTGTGGCTAGCAGAAATTCATGTCATTCCATTCTCTTTTTCTCATTTATGCCTCTTTCTCCTTTCCCTTTCCCCTTTCTCCTGGGGCCCCCCCCCCCGGTTTTTTCCCCTAAGCCAGTATCATAGTTCAGGTCTCTGAGCAACTCTGTAAGACCTTCCTTATCCTCACGAGATTTCTGATTATCACCTTTCATTACAGGATTTTTTTGCTGCTGAGTAATTTACTTGTGATATTTGGAAAATGGACGCAATAAGGAAGTTAGCGATAAATCTCCTGTTTTCTCTGTAGCAATTAGCAATACTGTTAGTAGTTAAAAAAAAAAAGATACCTGAGGGGTTCCCATACAAAGCTTTTCACGAACTCCATATACGGTGCTAAATAGGCTTCTGTGCAGGCAGAGGACTGCAGTGGCATTTCAGTGAGATTTACCTCAGTGGCTACATCTGCCTCTTCTGTTCAAGTGGTTGCAAATCTGTGAAGCAATTACGTGAAATGCTGTGACCCTCTTCATCTGGGACCTGCAAAAGGCTGTCGTTTAACAGGGAAATTAAACTCAAAACAATGCAAAAAATAAAAAATAAAAAATCAGCCTTTGGAGAACGAGGCAAAATTGCAGTGAGATTTAACTAAAAGGAAATTTAGTGAGCCAGTAAGCAGAATGTCCATAACTGACTGCTGCTTATTGTGCCCCTGCTTTAGGACCCAGCTCTTCATGCCCTTAATGTCAGCAGGAAGATCCCCAGCAGTTCTTTACCTTCATACTCCTTTTAAAAAATATGGTATCATCTTTTTGTACCAACATTTCTATTCAATAGATAGATTTATGTTACCTCAATCCTTTCACTGAAAAAACAAAAATCCCACAAACCTGGGAGAGGCATGGGACAGGAGAAAGCTCTTTGCACTAAGAATGCAAAGACTATGGAAGAAAAAATACTGTTTTTCTGTCCCAGCACTGGAAGTGTCCCCAGAAGTGGTTTTGCCTTTTATTAGCAGCGCACAGAGATTAGAGCAGCCAGAGCTGTTTGCAGTCAGCCCTCTGAGACCTTTGCTCCCTTGAGCTGAGCTGCAACCAGCATCTAGCTCTGATGTATCCTTGGTTGACTGAAATGACATTGAAGTGAAGGACTTTTTAATTTTCTCTCGCCTTTTTTTTTTTTTCCTCCTTCTCTTTTTCAGTGTATTTAATAGTGATGTGGATTAGAAAGCCTCTGATGTAAAGGAGAGGGGGGCTCAAATGTTATCAGTGCTATCAATTTGTCTGTAACCAGTTCTTAAAGTGAGGCTTTACAGTAAGCCAGCCTGGAGCTAAGCGACTGCCATCATCAGGCTCAGTTCTGCAACACAAAATATGGGAGGGATGATTGCAGCTGCTCTGTGAGCCCTGGAAATGCTGCTGAGAGCTGCAGCGGTTCCCTGCTGCAGGCACTGTGCCAGAGAGGCATCCCAAGTGTTCGTAGCTTTCACAGGAGGCTTTTCTGTGAGAAATTTCCTATGGAGTACTGGAATTTTCTAGATCAAAACTTTTTTGGGGGAATGAAATCTGAAAGGAAAGGCTATAATTGTAGCTCATGAGCTGGCACTTCATTCAAAGCCAAGAGAGATAAGAAAAACATCAATGCAAAAGCACCTGAGTAAGTTTGGAATGGCCTTGGCAAATTAAAACTATTAAGTATTTCCAGGAGACTTCTGCAGATCTCCTTCCAGCTGTATCCACAGTCCCATTGGAGGAGCAATTAAAACTCAGGTGGGTTATTGTTCAGGGTCTCTGAAAATGTTTTTTTATTCCTAGGGCTAAACCAGCTAGCTAAGAAAAAAGGAAAACCTGAATGAAAACAGTACTTAAAATTTGAGCCGAACCCAACGCAATCTGTGAGATAATAGATAGGAGCACAGTTTTGAATCAAATTAACTCTCAGTAGCCAGCAGTCTTTGCCATGTGGATAAGTATTTAAAATCTGAGTAGCAAATGGTGTTCTGCCTGCTTCACCATTTTTTATACCCGATAGCTGTATAGCACATTTTCTTTTCTCACCAGGAAGGAAAATACTGATATACCAGGTAGGGGATGCTGTCTTTATCTGAACCACTCAGATACAGGAGAATTTCATTCATTTTTGATGAAAGCATTCTTCCTGTGCTTCATCTTTGTAAACAATTGTTCACAAATGTGCATGCTGCCAAAAAGCAAGGACATTAATAAGGTGTGCTTGTGAAGTGAAGGCTGTTTCTCTCTGGTAGGAGAAGGCCTATGAATTCCTGGTAGAGAAGTGTGACTGTGCCCTGGAGAGGGGTACGCTCCCATCTGCAGCCTACAGACTGTTGGGTGGGCATGACTGGTCCAACTATTTATGTAAAGAGAAATAAACATTGGCTAACTAATGGTAGAATTCATGGTTTTCATACGTTGAACAGAACCCTTCAGTTTAACGGACAGGTTCTGTTATAGCCTGCGTTGTGGGGGAGAAACCAATGCTCCAGTGAACTGCATGTTACGGAGCTCTAAAACCTCACTGTCTTCACAGGTCTCAGCGCTATCTGTGCATGCTCCAGTCCATAGGAGCTGGAACCTTTGATGTCTGAAGGCCCACAGGGCAGCAGACCAGTGCCTAGTTTTGCTTGTGCTGCTGCGTGCCATTGTTATTCCTTCAGCCAGTATTGGCTCACACAGCGCAGTGTTTTAGTCCTGCTATTAAATAGAGTCCAAATGCCTGAACAGGAGAAGGAGGCAGGGGACAAACAGCACTGCACAGAGGCAGGCAAATCAGTCAGCCTACATGCTGCCCACACATGCTGCTGCTGGGGATTTACCATTTGAATGAGTTCCTGGGCACGACTGAGATCTGATTTCCATTCAGCACGGTGGGAAAGCACAAGAATAAAAACATGCAAGGAGAAGAAAAAGAGAGGAGAAGAAATGTCTCCCACAGCCACACATCCCTGCCTCTCGACCTGCAGCTGTTAGAGGCAGAGCTCTCTATGAGAGGTGGGCTTTGGGGTGACCTTCTGTTGCTGCTCAGCTTGAGCCTTAACAGCAGCACCAGAAGCCACCACTTGTCATGGTGAAGAGCTCACCTCTGCAGCAGGTGAGGCTTAAACTCCTGAGTTTCACTGTGCATTCCCTTCTCTTCTCCCTCCCATTGCATATGTCCCCCCTTCCTAGAAATGCCTCACTTGAGGTGTGAGTCTTTAATAATGATAGAATAAATAAGAATAAAGCTCCCTACCAACCATCAGTTGTCTCCTTCCACGACCAGGATGGATGTAGGCTAGACTTTTGGCAGCCCTTTGGGATCAAAGAGAAAGATTTATGATTAGTTTTACTACCATAAATTCAAAGACAAGAATATGGGCAAAAAAAATCATCCATCAACAGCCCCCTTTTTTGAGGTCTAACTGCTTAATGGCTGAGATGAGTGAGCTGGATCCTCCCTCTTCCATACAAGCAGCCTACAGCTACTGCTGAGGGTGTTGCTGATGCCTCATGGTGCTTCCATGCACAGTATTTTGCACATAGATGGTGGCAATGCTAGGCTTACACACAAGGAAGAGTGCAAGGCATGTGTACGTAATTCAGGGTCAGGATTTTTATTCCTAGCTGGGTATTTTTCTGCAGACACTTCACTCTTATAGAGGAGTAAATGTCACAGCATCATTACAGTTTTGCATCCTTGTTTTTCCTGTGGAACTGTTAAATTTGCCAAGTATGCAAAAAAAAAAAAAAATCCAATCCTCCCTTCTCTTTAGCGTATATCTGACATGCAATGACTCCCACATCTGTGTATTTCACTAATGGTCTCATAGTTATAATTAGCCAATATTTTTGTGTCCAAAACCTGGAAACCTTAATCAGTTCACACACTGCTTTTCATCCCCAAGGTCTGTATGGACTTCCAAGGTATATGATAGGTAATGAAGTGAAGGAAGCCTATTTTCAGAGTATCAAAACTGTTAAATAGAGGTTAACACCTGCACTTGAGGATTTTCTATCAGAAAAGGGTGGAATTGCTGTCTTTTAGAAAAATAATTCCTTACTGAGTCAGAGAGAAACAGTAAGTTCAGCTAACAAAATGAAATGGACCAAGTCTGCAACCTGACTGGTGTGCCAACTTCTTTACCAGATAAAACACACAAAACGTATAAAAGCTGGAAACAAGTTCCTACCTAACCTCTAAACCTGTCCTTCAGGTGCCGCCAGCTCAAAAAAGCCTGCTTGTGGACCCAAAGCCCAGATGAGACCCTTGCTACAACTGCCTATAAAAGGAGAATGTGGTGAGTTTCTGAGCAGACAACTCAGAGACACACAACTGGGAGACTGACAGACCTGAGAATTACGCTGCCATCCAGAGGATGCTGTCAGGGTGGAGAAATGGGCTTTGTAAAGAACCTCCTGAAGTACAGCAAAATGAGTTGTGAAGTCCTGTACCCAGGAAGGAACTACCCAAAGCATCAGCACAAGCTGAGAGGGGCACTTGAATGGAACATACTTCAGAGCCCTGATGGTCACCAGGTTGCTCCAAAGAAGCCTAACAGTATTCTGGGCTGCAATAGGCAAAGTATAGCCAGCAGATAGAGAGAGGTGGTCCTTCCCCTCTGCTCAGCACTGGTGGGGAGACACCACATGTCCGCTGCTGGGTCCTCCTGTACAGGAGTCCTTGACACACTCAAGAGAGTCCAATGGAGGGCCATAAAAGCAATGAAGGGATTGGAGCACCTCTGCCGTATGAGAGAAGCAGAGCATCTCTCAGAGATCCCCTGAGCCTGGAGAAGGCTCAGAGGAATCTCTTCCATGTCCATAAATACCCAAAGGGAGGTGCAGAGAGGACACAGCCAGGCTCCTTGCAGCTCTACCCAGTGCCAGGAGCAGAGGCACTGGGCACAACCCAGAGCACAGGGTTCCCTCTGCCCATCAGGCAGCACTGCTGTGCTGTGCAGTGCTGGAGCCCTGGCACAGGCTGCCCAGAGGCTGTGGGGTCTCCTCCTTGGAGCTCTCCCAAAGCCGCCTGCCCATGGGCTGGGCCCTGCTCTTCTGGGGCAGTTCTGGGGCAGAGGGATCCTGAGGTGCCTCCAACCTCAGCCATGCTATGATCCTGTTTTATGTAATAAAACACATCATCACAGAGATGGCAAGAATAAACTGGAAGGTGTCTTGAATGGAGATAAGCTTATTTTGTACCGACATTAATTCTTTGTGAAGTGTGCATGATAATTAATGTTAATCCACAAATAAATTCTTAGAAAATTATCTGTTACATCTGCAGGGTAAAAAGGTCTGAGTTGTAGCACTGACTACTAACAGCATTATGTATGATTTACCAGCAATTGTCAAGTTTCACACCAAAGGTCAGAAATAAATCCTGAGTTTGTAAGCTGCAAGAAAGAAATGTATGAACACTTCAATTTATTGCTCTGTCACTGTTAATTCCATCTGGTATTCACTGTGATAGCATTGCTGCTAATGAATGTATTTGGTAATAACATGGATGTCATATATATTTATGCTCTAATCTCTTTCAATGGTTCAGCAGACAAAACAAGTTAGGAACTTAGCCATGTTAAATTTTTATAAATTAAGAGGGAAAAGAAATCATATTTTATTTCAAGGAAGTACTTAACAAATATGTATCATATTTAACTTCTCTCACTAGGAGCCTGTCCTATCACTGCAGAATTCCTTGTATTTCTAAGGAATAAATGAGGATCAAACCATTCTATTGGTATGACTTTTCCTGTTGTTTGATGATAAAAACCACGATCTTAACGCTTTGAGTCCGGCTCAACAGGATCTGAGCAGCAGGAGGAAAATAAATGACTACAAGTACACTTTAGAAATCTTAATTATGACCTAAACAACCTTGCATATAAATCACAATGCTGCAATTTCAAAACCTGACAGAGTATAATATACACACGCTAATGTAAGCTTGTGTCTCCATCACTTCCCAGACTGGTTCTTGAATCCCCATGAGCTCAGGCAGAGCAGAGGCTGAGTTTCTCTGTGGTGAGGAGGACAGAGTCATTCTCTCCATGGCTCTCACAGGCCTCTTTTCCACTACTGTCTATTATTTCTGTAATCACTTCATTACAGGCTTTGTGAATTGATTAGGCTTGGAAAGTGCTGCAGTGAATAAAAGGAGAGCCTGGCAGCATTTGTATAAATCTGATGGCTATTTCTGAGAGATGTGCTGCCCTCCTCTGCCTTTAGAAGTGGGACTGACTTTAAAAAAAAAAACATTTGAGGGAGGAAGAGAACTGCTAAACTGTTGTTTTTCAGACTCTGTGTTTTCTTCTGAAAAGATTACCAGTTTAACACGTAGTAGTGTGACACATAGATTAACTTTATACTTTGATTAGGAAAAAAATTTCCTTTAGGCTTCTCACAATGTATTGACTATTAATTAAGATGGAAAAGTATCTCACTGGCTGAGCAGTGGATGGATTTTGAAATAATTTACAGGTAGATGCTTTCCCCATTTCTATTTGCAACTTTGTGTCACACCAAATTTAATGGATTCATTTAATGATGAAAGGTTTTGGAGCCTTTACAAGTGTTAGAATCTGTAATACTTACAGCATACCTACCTAAAAGCTTATGAAATGTCATGCTCATCTTTATTGCAGACTGACTCATTGTAAGGGGGTCTTCTGGCTTCCTTTGTTAATACACAAAGAATTCATTTTGGCATCTTCCCTTAGGGATGGTTTCTTTTAAGCTGTGACTGCATTAATAATATCTTTCACAGTAACTCTTTCCATCAGGCAGTTGGACTTGATGATCTCCAAAGGACCCTTCTAACTGAACCAATCTAATTCTAATCTGCTACCAACCCATAATCAGTAAAACCATGGAGTAAAGGACAAATTTTCTGTCAACTTTTATGTATGAGATATATTAATTTTTATGGTTTTTACTCCTGAGTTAGTTAAATGCCCCTAAATGTGGAAACTTTTTATGAAAATGCCTTTTTAATAACAAAGACCATTCCTGCTCTCAGAGAACTGTGTTACTTCAATAATCTGGTTTCTTTTTTTTTTTTTTTTTTTTAAAGTGATATATTTTGAGGCTAAAACTGCTGATTTATTAGTAGTACTTCCCTCAGATACAAAAATTCTTTTTCAAGCTGAAGAACAAAAGGTCATCTTGCTTTTTGCGAGTGTACACACTGTATTTTTTGCATGGTTCAGTTTGCTGGTTCTTTAGATCTATCTGCTTTAGGATTAGCGAGTTTACAAACATATCCGGGTTTTGAAAGGTTTTTTTTGGTGGCACTGTTTGAAGTGCTGAGAAAAAGAAAAAAGCAAGCTTAGCTGTAGCTTTATAAACAAGGTGTGCTTACATCTGCTAAGAAAAGCACAGACAAACCTGGGATGGAATCACCTACATAACAGTTAAAGCAGGATCATTTCTACAGTGAGCTTCTCAAAGAAACCTACTGCCACTTACAATCATCACACAGTGCCAATGGATGGCTGTGGTTCTGCATGAGCGTTTGATTTACATCAGTGCCTGGTTGATGATCTTTCTGAAATTACCAGAGCAGGCACATTTCCTGTTTGCCTCCTCCACAGCTAACCTCTTCCTAGGCTTTATTTCTTAAATGCTTCCCTAAATCCAAAACATAAAAAGATTTCTGCATTTTTTTCAATGGGAGAACTTCATTTTTTCCTTTCTAGAGACGCAAATGCCCGATTCTTTCTGAAGATTGTTAAATATCTAGGCCTAGTAGCTCCTTGTGCTAATGAGTCCTACAGCTTAATTGGGTTACAAGAAAAATATTGTTCTGTTCCATTGTGATATTCTCTCTTTTTTTTTTTTTTTCCATTTCAATGATATTTTGTTTTGCAGTAAGTCACTAAAACGCAGCTGTGCTGTGTCACCTAAAACACAATGTAGTGATATCCAGCCTAGGCAGAAGCTACCCCTATATAACTAGGAAGTACAATAGGTGCCTAACTTGCTGACTTTGAAGAATGCCTGGAGCTTCTGAGCACTCAGAAGGTAGAGGAAGAAGAAAGAAAAAGGGCTGTACCACTTAAGCTGCAAAGACACAGGGACTGGAACCTCCAGGAAGGTTCTGGAGCAGGACAGAAACTCAGAGAGCACAACTTTGCCCTGCTTGCTGAGGAACAAACTTGTCTCCCAAGTTGATAGTCACCCATAGCTAAACCCATGTGGATTCTCACAAGAGGTTCAGAGACAAGAAAAGTCACCTAAGAAAGTTAAGCCTAAAAACCAGAAACACTGATGAGTATTTTTGGCATGAAATGAAGAATCCTTTCATTCCAGCTACAACCCATGTGCTGCTTCAGCTCAGCAGCTCTCCAGTTTGTTGTTGTTGTTGTTGTTTTCCCCCTTTCCCACAGCTTTCTTGATCACCACTTCTAGGTTGCTGTTTTCTCCCAGCCTGCTTAAGTTATATTTTGTAATGATAGTTCATAAAAAATAACAGCACGTACTCTTAACTGATGGCAATAGTCTGTGGGAGCATGCTATCAGTCAGGATACGACTGTACTCTTTTTCATGCTTTCACGATCATGTTTTCGTGTTGGGTTATCATCGTTTTTCTTATTTTTAAAATTTCATTTACAATAAAGTCTTTTGATACTGCACCAGCAATAGAAAGGAATCACGGTAATCAGGTTTTTCAAAATGAAATGGTTTGACTATAGTTTATGATATTCACTGCCCAAGTTGGCTAACATTGGCAGGCAGAGTTTTTTTGGGATGGAGAGAGAGTACTGTGACCCTTACACACTAGTGTGTGACCTGCTAACCTGAGCTCCAGAGAAAAGGCCATTTTAAGTTGAAGTTGATCCTGTCTGAGCTCTGTTTTTTTTCCAGTTGTAACAATCAAAAAAATCAATGTGATAGAATAGCAATACAGGAGGTAATGAGAAAGGAACTAGCTCTCCAGAAAGGTACTACAAAGGAAAAGTGCTCACCTGTCTCTGAAGATGTAGGTTCACAAAGGAAACTCCACAAGACAGAGACCACCAACATGAGTTCACCTCCAGTGGCAGTCAGCCCTTAAATGAGGTCTAAGAGAGGTGCAGCCAGGCTCCACTCCTTCAGGTTGAACAGCTGAATTGCCTTCACCTGTGTTCCCAGGGCTGCTTGGGTCCTTTCCCCAGGTGCTCAATCAGTGGTTCAGGCCAGGACTCAACAGTTACCATACAGGTGTTTAGCACTATTAGCTAAATTGTATTTCAAATAAAGCAAGAATCACATCTTAATATATGCTAAAATATCTATTATGTTGAGAAGCTGCTTATTTAGATCTAAAAAATTAATAAAAAAAAAAATTAAAAAGGGTTTGAGAAATGTAAGGAAAAGGATGAACGTGATGGTTGGAATATGTTGTAGAAAAAAGAGAGGGGAAATACTTAAGAAAAGCTAGATTTTAACCAGAGCTTAAGTGTTCTCCAAATGCACAGAATTTCCCTGCAACAATCCCTTTTCATCCTCAGGAGAAATGTTGTTCAACAGTGCTCATGAGGAACTTGCATCTGCACTAGCTGAACTCTGTTTAAGAACTGAAGAGGGGAAAGCGTCTAATTAACAAGTGATGAAACGCTGAGGCGATGAGGAAAGCTATTCTCCCAATGGAGGTCGTTCACTGTTCTGCACAGTTGATGTTTCCCCCTAGAGATGTCCTCAGCTGCTGTATTAAATTCAAAGACAAAGTAAGGTTTCTTCATAAGATTTATCCAGGCTGTATTTTCAAGCATCATACAGCTTGCCAAAATGAATTGTTTTGACGCTGACTTACCTCACCTAGGTTAAAGATATAACAGAGGTGTTTCCTTCACAGCAGTTGGCATCAAAGGGGTTCTAAGGACATTCACTGTGTTTCAAGACCCAAGCAAGTAATAACAACATAATGTGTATATTTTCATACCTCAGAAAGATAATCAGCTTGTATATATCTTCAGGCCAATCACTTTGTACCTTTTATTTTCCCACTTTTTTGGGGCCTAAGACTGGCATATGATTTATAAGTTACTCAAAATGAAATTTTTCATCCTCTGTCTTCAGGTTACTTTTTGGGCACTAGGTAACAAAAAGTGTATGCCACCACGAAAAACACAGCTGTATTTCTTTCATTCTTATTTCTCATGCAGAATGGTTTATACAACAAATAATAAGCTTTTTGTTAACTAACATGACTCATGTCTGGATGATCTTAGCCCCAACCATAATGGCAGAGCTTTTTCTCTGAATCCTCCCCTCATCCTTATATCTTTATTGGATATAAGGGAAAAGTCTCTTAGAGTGAGGGTGGTTAGGTACTGGAACAGGTTGCCTAGACATGTTGTAGAAGCCCCATCCCTGGAGACGCTCAAGGTCAGGCTGGACCAGGCCCTGAGCAACCTGGTAGGGCTGTGGATGTCCCTATTCACTGCAGGAGAGTTGGACTAGATGACTTGTAAAGGTCCCTTCCAACTCTAAGGAATCTATGATTCTATGGTGATCCTTTCACTCAAAAATCTCTGCAAAGCAGCTGACAGTAATTCATACTTACATTTTGTTATCAGTAGCCATGCAAGTTCACCTTGTATCTTCTCAATGAGATAAGTGCTGGTATTTTTGTGATCATCACCTCTTGAAGTAGATCTGCCATGGTGAATTTCCACCAAAATGGGTAGTATTCACGTAGCCCAACTTTGGGCACATGCTTTACCTGGCTCGGTTGAAGGGTTAGTCTCCATTGGCTTATTGGAGGTAAGCAACCAAAAATAGTGATCCAGATATTGCAGAAGCACTTTGACAAGGGACTTGACTTTTATAATTAAATAGTACAGATGTTTGAGGCCATTTCCCCATAAATTAGACAAATCCCTATAAAGTCAAGGCTGACTATATTTGGTAGCCTGGAATTAATAGTCTGATATTTCTTTAATATTATTTTCTGAAGACAATTTTTCCATTTGAAAAATACCACAAAGAATTGAGAAGATTTCAACCAACGTTAAGTCTTATCTGATGTCCTTCCACGGGACAACTGTGACATTATCAGAAATGCATAAAAACACCTTGAGAATAAAATGTTTTTCCTGATTGAGTTAAATCTGTACAAAATATTAGAATTTACCTTAGCAAAGTGATTATTTTTTTCCCTTTAAAACCTGGAAAACGTCAACATTGCACTGACTGTTTTTCCTTCTATTGTTTAAAATAGTGACTGACCTTTCTTTGGAATGAAAGATCTAAAAATGGCATTCATTGCTAGTGACAGGATGGTGTTTGAGATGCAGGCTCTCACCCAATCAGTTACTCAAATGTAGGAGTAAGCTATTTCTATTGAGCAGTAAGACGGATTAAATACAGAGCGGCATTAAAAAAAGACAGTGAGAGTAATGCACAAGCATCACCATTGCTTCTAGAATGTAATTTTAAGTAAATGACCTTATGTTGCTCACATGCTTGAAAATAAATCTCTGTTCTGCTTCGGTAGTGCTTCTTTTATTTGCAAGCAAATATAAATGAGTTGGATCCTGAATTTTCTTTTTTTTTTTTTTTTTCTTTTTTTTTTTTTTGTGACGCTATCAATTCTTTAAAGAACGAAGTCAACCATTAAAGATCTTTTCAAGAAGTATAAAAAAAAAGAATGGTAAATAATCTGCCATGAAGAAGTGGTGAGTAGACTGATGCCACCAGGCCAGGAGCAGGCCGTGATGTGGGGATACCAGGATGCCTGAGGCAATCATTAGCCAGGCGGTACTCTTCCTCTTCCCCAGTTTGTCACCACAGAGGCAGACTGAACACCCACCATGGCCATTACATTAACCTCTGTTTGCTGTCCTTATTTAGGCAGTGCTTACCATGTTTGTCAGGAAGCCAAAAACTTCATCAAAATTATGATTTGCGCTCCTTATTTCCGCTTTTTTCTTTTTTTGGCAGCAGTTGAAAGACACTCGAGTGTACACTCCCTGTTCTGCATACCAACAAACATACTTCTCCCCAGAAAAGCTCATCCAGAAAAGCCTTTCCAGGGCTAAAGTTAAAACAACTATAAGATGACAGTTGACTCAGATAGGATCTGCAGGACATCCTCTGAATATTCTGAGGATGTTCTTCAAAATCTTCATCAATGCTTCTCACTGATGTCCAGAGATGAGACTGGATTTTTGCGAAACTGCAGTTCTGTGACTATTCACATTTTCTTGCATTTTCAGACTTTACAAAACCTAAACTCCATCTTGTCGTGATTCCCACATGTGAGTGAGTGAGTGAAGATTCAAGCCAAAGGAGACATCAACTCCTGTAGGATGCAGAAACTGCTATAAACTAGAAGCAAAAAAAAAAAAAAACCTTCATTTTTGTTATCAGGCCATTACTGACTTTGTTCTTCTGGTCAAGGAACAGAAATTGCCATAACCCAGTTTCTCACATTTTTACAAAGAAACACAGAAGTGCTCAGTTTTCAGCAGGTGCAAGGAAGAGGGTGGATTAAAGGTATTGTAAGTATCATCTGAAGTACAGTGCAAGTTCATCTAACATGAAGCAGCAGCTTTTATTAGGTTTTGCAGCGAAGACGCTTCATAGGAGACAGGAAAAATAAGTGGGAAAATTATGAAGTCTGACAGTGATTAAAAGCATTATCTAACCCCTTCTTCTGGTTCTTAAGAGCCATTAATCACATTGTGTATTTACGTAGTGCTTGGATGTGACCATGAAAAAAATAATGCTCTCTTGAAAAGAACTAGTAAAATTCACAAGCTTAAGGATCATCTCTGAAGGGATCAGTACAGGATGGATGTGGAGCTGTTAGAGAGGGTCCAGAAGAGGCCACTAAGATGATCAGAGGGCTGGAGCAGTTCTCCTATGAAGAAGGGTTGAGGGAGTTCAGCCAGAAGAGAAGGGTCCAAGGAGACCTCATTGTGGCCTTCCAGACTTTAAAGCTTACAAGCAGGAGGAGGACCAATTTTTTACGTGGTCTGATATTGATAGGACAAGGGGGAATGGCTTTAAATAAAAGAAGAAAGATTTTAGTTAGATGGTAAGAAAATATTTTTTACTCAGGAGTGGTAAACTGGCTGGGTTTCAGCTTCTGCCCAGCCATAGTGGTGGGCAAACGCCATTATTGTTTCAACTGCAGGCTGCTTCCTTCTCAGAGGAGGAGAGCAGCTTGCCTTTGGCCTTTGCACTGAAGAAAAGTTTTCATAAGAGAAATTAGTTGTTCTGCAACAGTAATTACTGTACCTTTGCATTTTTGAATGTTTCTATGGCAGAACTTAAGAATGTGAACTGACACTTAAGCCTTGAATTGCCTCGTTTAGCTAACTTGAATTCTGAAATCATATTTTGCTGCTCTTGTCCTCTTTTCAGTTTTTAATTCAGCTGAGACTGCTCAGACATTATGAATTCACATCAAGATGCTTCACAGACTGTCTCTGGGGAAACAGCCTTTTAAAATGGCAGTCTTTTAACAGCATGTTTATGATTCCTTTTTTCAGATTGAATTCATAAAACTTGGAGGGAGATACTACTCCCTTTATGGAGAGGATGAAAGCTTTCATTTCTGCTATCCACCCAATCCGCATAAAATACACTTCCAGACTCTTACACAGCTGGACAGAGTCTAAAACATTTATGCCTGGAGTAATATCAACATGATTTTTAATAACGGAGATTAATGGGTCTAAACTTAAAATTTTTAAATTTTACCAGTAGACTTAGACATATGCTTAAAATTAAGTACCTATGTCCGTTCTGCATGGAGGTGCTGATAGGCAAAAGCATATGGAGCAATGAAATATGAAAAGTTGGGTTTGAAAATGAGAGGTAAATCTACATTCTTGCAGGCACAGACATTAGGTGAAGCGTTAAACAGAAACAAGCTCTGATTCTGAAATTCTGAATTGAATTTCAAATATAGGTGCAACGTGGGTTTATCTGAATTCAGGCCTTGACGTTTCTGGTGGAAATAGGCTCATTGGTCAATTGCAGTGCATTGGTGGCCAGTTTTGAACATCAGCTTAAACAGTCATGCTTCTAGAAATGAGGAGGAATGTTTACGTGAGCAAATATAAAAAAATATAAAAAAAAAAGAAAAGTGTGAAATAAAGCC